GAATGGGGAAGGAAAACAAACTGGCACATCAGATCATGGAAGAATGTACCAGAGAGGGGAAAGCTACAGAAACTCAAGAGACCTACAAAGGTTCACCCAGGGTATGAGGCAAAACTCTTACTAGCATTCGTGTTATGAAAGACCTAAAGGGATAAACAGCCACCCCAAACATTCTAGGGGAATGTCAAACAATGCTGGGAATAAATAATTCCTGTTCCAGAAATCCTGGCTGGGAGCCTCATACTGAACATTAGGTATGTAGAAAGGTGCTAGAAGTTCTGCCTCAGTAGCAGAAAACAATCAGTCCTCGATTAATCACTGCTCCAGTTTTGCAAAAACAAAACAAAAACAAAACAAAAAACTCTTTAAAAAAGGACACAAAAGGTTCAATCTTTATATCTGCAACAGACAACAGGAGTTTTTAAAGACAGTAAAGGCAACCAGAGCCAACCAAGGTGAAACTCAGAGTCTGATACACAAGAGAAACACACTTGTAAAAAAAAAAAAAAAAAAGTTGGAAAATATAATTCACAAAGAGAAGCCAAACAGCTGGGAGTAAGAACAACATAGCACTACCAAACAGGGCACTTCCAGTCAGCCCTGCTGCCTAGAGCACCATTGCTTATTATGGGGAAGGTGTGTTGAGGTAAGTTTACAATTTCCAATAGAAAAATGTGCGGAGCCAATCAATAATAATAAACAAAATTCTACAATGTTAAGTTTAGGACTTTTTTTCAAAGAATGAAAATATTGTATTTAAAAAGTTTATGATTTTTCTGTATGCTAAAGTTCTGGGAAGTAAACATTAAACTGAAAAAAAAGTATAGAGGATAAATTATGGCTCAGTGAGTCAAAGTACTGATGACCTGAGTTTAATCCCAGGAACCCACATAGAAGACAGGAGAAAATCAACTTCCCAGAGTTGTTCTTGGATCTCCGGATGTGTGCCATGGAATGCTTATAGCAGAACGTTTATGCATACAAAATAAAATGCAAAGTTTAAAAAAAAAATCAAAGAGATTGATCAAAGTAAAAGGAGCATGTCTCTAACAACCCTGTATTTTAAAAAGTGATAGAGTACATTTTTAATACTTGATGAAGATAGATTATAGCAGTCAAGATCAAAATTCAGACAGGGTTCATAGGGTTCATTTTCTCTTCCTGCCATGATGATGGCTATTGTCTTGCCAAAGTGACAAACTTTTATACCTCTCTCTCTCTCTCTCTCTCTCTCTCTGAAGTGACAAACTCTTATACCTCTCTCTCACTCCGTTTTTTCAAGGTGGGTTTCTCTGTGGCTTTACATCCTGTCCTGGAAATCACTCTGTAGACCAGGCTAGCCTCAAACTCACAAAGATCCAGCCTCTGCCTCCCAAGTTCTGGGACTAAAGGTGTGTGCCACAACCACCCAGCTATTGCTCCCCTTTTTAATTAATTAATTTTATATCTCAGCCAGTTTCCTCTTCTCCCAGCCCATCCCCCAGACTCTATTCTTACCCCAATTCACTCTCCTTCTATTTCTATATGCATGGGTAGGTCTCCCATGCATATCAACAAAACATGGCATATAAAATTGGAGTAAATCTAAGCATCTCCACATGTATTGTGGCTGGACAAGGCGAGCCAGGATGACAAGTAGGTTCCTAAAAGTCAGTGAAAGTGTCAGAGACAGTTTCCGTTCCACTGTTAGAAGTTTCACAAGAGGACCAAGCTACACAACTGCCATATATATGCAGAGGTCAGTACCATACAGGCTCCCTGGTTCTGTCTCCATGAGCCCCTATGAGCCCAGGTTAGTTGATTCTGTAAGTTTTCTTATGCTGTTCTTGACACCTCTGGCTCCCCCTCTTCTGCAGCATTCCCAAGCTCCACCTATTTGGCTGTAGGTGCATCTGTCTCCATTAGTTAGCCTCTCTGATGAAAACTGGTCTAGGAACCAATCCCAGCACATCCCATAGGCAGGACAGACTGTAGGTTGAAGTTTTTGTGGCTGGGTTAGTTTCCCATTCCCTCACTCCCTCATAAACATCTCTTTTTATGAGGATATAAATCCCATGAGATCAGAGCCCCACCCTATGACATCATTGAACTTAGTTTCTTCTATAACATCCCTGTAGTACTATTTCCTCCACAGTGGAGGAGTTGTGAAAACTTCACCTCATTAACTTCCACTGTGTATGGGGTTGGAGAAAAGGAATGAAGACTAGAAAGTTCTCAGCTCCCCTTTCTCATGTAGATTCCAATCACTTCTATAACAGTAAAATTGATTGGCACAAGATTTCTTGATGGTACAGCTGCCAAGAGTTCTCAAGGAGTAGCTATGAGTTGTTCATGTTTGTATAAGTAGCCTTAATCGTCTACAGTGAAAAGTCATTTCTTCATATTTCCCTAGAAAAAGTCACATAATAAGTTCTTTGTCCCAAGAGTTGTATCAGGGATCTGGGTTTCAATGTATTAATTGTGGGTGGGTGGGTGGGCATGGACGGATGGACATACACAAATACACACACACACACACACACACACACACACATTTTAGACCATAACACAGATATTTTCAATAATTCTTTGTTTCTTTTATCTCTCAGCTTTAAGACTTACTTCAATTGCATATATGTTAGACTTATAAGTCCTATGAGTGCAAAGAGTCAAACCATTCTTTGTTTTACTGTCCTGGGTCTTTATTTAGCCTTGTCGGAGTAGGTATGGTCTTGTTGGAGGAAGTGTGTCACTGTGGGGGCGGGCTTTGAGATCTTTTCTCAAGCTTCACTCAGTGTGACAGCCAGTCTACTTCATGTTGCCTTCTAGTCAAGATGTAGGCAGCACCACATTTGCCTGCACATTGCCATGCTTGTCACCATGATGATAATGAACTGAACTTCTGACACTGTAAGCCACCACTTCAATTAAACTTTATTTTTGTAAGAGTTGCTGTGGTTATGGTGTCTCTTCCCAGCAAAAACAAAAACAAAACAAACAAACAAACAAACAAAAAACCTAACTAAGAGAAAAACTCATGGAGACATAGATGAAAATCAACAATAGAGTTTTTTTTGGAGGTGGGGGGGGTGTTGAAACAGGATATCCTGTTCAAGTACAGGAACTTGAACTCTGTACATCAGGCTGGCTTTGAACTCACAGAGAACTGACTGTCTCTATCTCCCAAGTACTGGAATTAAAGGTGCATACCACTGCCACTTGGCAACAACAGAGATTTTTAACCTGTGTTTTCATGATGCTTTCTAAAACGCAATCACACTTTTCGACTTTTTGGTGTCTTTTCTGCTTAAAATACTAAGGCTATCAAAACCACCAGGAAGAATTGGGACAACTGTCACCCCATTTCCCTGTGGTGGGTGGGAAAGAGAATCATGTTTTTCTTTCAAAGTAGATTAACTGTGATGAAGGGTATCTGGGGAGCAAGGAAAATTTTTACATCTTAACTGTAATGATAAAAAAATGAATGTAAGTATTCCCTACCAGTCATAGATTTTTATGTTAAAATTGGAAATTTCTACTCTATACAAATTGTAGTTCAACAAAGCTCATCAAAACCAAATGCAGAAACCAAATGCAGAGAGACGAACAGGACTCTCAGAACATGACTGGGTTGATTAACAGCAGCCACACAGTCCTAAATGAAGTGGCTGTTTAACTAAGTCTAGCATAATTCATTAGAGACTGGGAGGAAGCAGGAAGCAATTAAGTAGACTGAGCTTCCCAATGGCTGAACAGCATTCACTACATAGTGGGCCATTTTAATAAAAGCTATGAATAAAAATTTAGTTACATACAAACAGTCCTGGATGTCTTGAAATTCACTTTTGTAGACCAGGATGGCCTCAAACTCAGAGATCTCACTGCTTCTGCCTTCCAGGTGCTGGATTACACCTCCTGGATTACACATAAACTCTAAAAGCCCTTTCAAAACCTTATATTATTTGGATAATTAAACACATACTCAGTGGATTCACATATTTCACTCTTTCTAGCTACTCTGCCATAGTTCAAAGCCATCCTGAGCACTATACTGAGGCCTTGTTTCAAAGTAATAAAAACAAGAAAACTTTTGTGAATCATACTTCTGCTTTAAATTAATTTTGTTATTATTGCATGTATATGGGGGGGGTACATGCCAAGTATGTGTGTCAGAGGACAACTCTGGAGTCAATTCCTGTTACCTTCTATTTTTTTTTTTTTTTTTTTTTTTAGCAACACACTTTTTATTTAGCTCAGCATATCGAAAACAGCACTTCATACAAAATCATGTAAGATTGTTCTACCTTTAAATAGATCCTATACTAAAACTTAGGTCACCAAACTAGAATGGCAAGTGCCTTTACCTGTAAAGCCATCTGATAACCTGAATGAATCAGATTCTAATGATCACCTTGTAATTTACAATGTAAATCTCTTTATTTATATAAAATCTTCATTATTATAGCTTTATTTAAAAATAATTCTAATGAATTAACTAAACATCAATTGCTTCTTGTTATCTACACAGGGAATACTCAGCTCAATTAAGAATGTTGTTCTAAGCTAGGTGGTGATGGTTCACACTTCTAATCCTAGTACTCAGAGAGGCAGGGACAGGAAGATTTCTATGAGTTCGAGGCCAGCCCAGTCTACAAAGTGAGCTCCAGGACAGCCCGGGATATACAACACAATGAAACCCATTTCAAAAATCAAAAAAGTCTAAGAGAAGCATCAGGGTTTTGTTTTTTAGTTAGTTAGTTTGTTTGGTTGGTTGGTTTCTCTGTCTAATAGTCCTGGCTGTCCTGGAACTTGCTGTGAAGACAGGGCTGGCTTCGAACTCACAGAGATCTGCCTGCCTCTGCCTCCTGAGTGCTGGGATTAAAGGTGTGCACCATTGCCACCCAGCCAGGAGTTTTAGAATAATAACAAAATTGTTTTATACAGCAATACAGCAAAATTTTGATATTAAGTTTTAACAGAAGTAAACATTTTAAATAAGTCTGAATGGATAGTAAACTTACAGTTTGTTGCTGCGTGAAAGTGAGAAGAAAGCGCCTGGGTAACTGCACTCCAAAATGTGTACAGAATTTCCGGCTGTCCATCCTATGAGCCAAACATACAGAACAAGAGAGCACTTGTTTATTTCAAGATGTGTGGCAAAGGCTATAGAGGTACTTACAGTTAAGAGCACTAGCTGCTCTTCCAGAGGAGCCATGAGGTTCCCAGCACCCATATCAGGTGGTTCTCAACTATAGGTATCTCCTACTCGACGGAAACACACAAATGGCATTCACTCACAGACACTTAGTCATATGCATAAATAATAACATAACCAAATAGAAAGAGAGAGAAGAGTCAAGCTTTGTTTTACATTCCAGTAATTAGTTGCTATCCTATTCTGCTCTGCTACTCATTAGCTCCACAGCCTTGGGCAAGGAGTGTGGACATTCTCAGCCCTCAAGTCCTCATCTAGAAGATAGGCTGGTAGCAAAACCACCAAACAGCATTACTATAAGGATTATATAAGCTAATATAAATCTTGTGCTAGTAGAACATATAATAAATCCTCAATGAATGTTAGTTATTATTGGTTTCATCCTTTGATATACACAAGTATTTGTGGGACAGAAATTCAGATTCCTAAAATTTCCTGTATTTATGTAAACAAGCATGGAATAATGGCGGTATCAATGGACATGTACTTAGGGCAAAAGCATGAGAAGCTGGATGTGGATTCTGGGCTAAGTGGTATGCATGGGTAACCCCAGCAGAGGAGACAGAAAACTCCTAAAGCGGGTGATGGTGGCCAGCAAGTCTGGCCGAAATGCCCACCTCTGAGTTGAATGAGAGACTATCTCCAAAAATAAGTGGGAAGGAAAAACAAAAACCCAGTATTGAACTCTAACCTCCACATCTGCATGCACATATGTACAAACTTTTACCTCACATACACACATAAAATGTCTGCAGGGAATGATGGTACATGACTGTGATCCCAGCACCCAGGAGGCTGAGGCAAGATCAAAATCCAAATCAAACAAACAAAAAATTTAAAAGATATTTTATAATGAGTTTTCCATAAATTTTAACATAATTTAAAGCATTAAGATTTGTTTCTTTTTATGCACCAAACCAAATGTAGATATATTTCCTTAGAATACTTAGAAATACTAATAGATTTCTTAATATTATTGTCACAGTGATGACAAGCTCCTAGTACCTATTTTAGAATAAAATATCCAGTATCGTTTTAATATGTTTTGAGCCTCAGAAGACAGAATGGCCCTTGGATATACCATGACTATAGTTCAAAGACAGTGAGATCAAATTTCTGACCACCTCAAGGAGAATAAAAATTCCCTTTTTTGGTTCTTTTGAGACAGGGATTCATGATGTAGACTACACTGGCCTTGAGCTCACTACAATTCATCTACCTCAGGCTTTAGGGTGCTGTAGTTTTATGGGCATGTTTCACCAAGTCTGGTTGAAATATACTATTAAAATCATCTTGTTTTGACAACTGAAATTTTTATATTTACATTTTTAAGAGAGACCCAACTTTGAATTTTTGAGGTATGCATATATGTGAAGGGATGCAGATGTCTATTTTCAAAGTATAGTTACATGTTTCCTAATGTAAGTTACTCTTCTTGAGTAAAAAAAAAAAAAAAAGAAATGGTTTAAAACATATTTTAGGGGGAAACTTTTCATAGACTAAAAAATTTTCTATCTACAGATAGTCTGAAGAAATTCCACATAATAAAATATTTTCAACATTTGGTAACTGAAAAATGTAAGTAAAATTAGTATTTTTAACTAACAAGTTAATTATATTTTCTGGGAAATTATAATTTCATATCCCAGATTTCTGATATTGTTTCTATTCCACAGATAATTTCATTTCACTTCTTCTATATTGCTTGCTTTTAGATGTGATCGTAAAATACAATACTGAATCTGTACTTTTACAGCTTTGCCTTTTTCTAAGAAACCACTGTAGGGGCATGCTGGTGCAAGGGGCTGCCTCGGCTTTCATCATCGCCTTTCATGCTTTCCTTCCGTGCCCTTGTGTGCCACATTTGTTCCATGTGATCATGTTGTCTGCTTTCATCTCCTTGATGGACTGAGCACTACAGATCTCAAGTCCATCAAAGGCTCCATTTGGGCTTTTGTTTCCCACAAAAGAGTTTTAATCTTATATGATCTCATATCTCACTTTTCTGAAGCAAAAATGAAGATATGTCTTCTGAGGCTACTGTTAAATAAATCAAGTTAGAATTCTAAACTTCAGGAATTGATAAACTAAATAAAAATCAACATACATATTTTAACAAGCTAGTTATTTACTCAACAAGTACTAATGTAGGGAAAGGTTTTAGGTTATCTCAAACAAACATCACCTGTTTGTGTATTAATATAAGGAATAATCCCCCCAATCCAGTATAGTGAATTGTAAACTTTGAAGTGAGAAAAATTTGACTGTAGAGTGAGGAAAATTAGCTCTACTTTGAGTGGATGGGTGCATCCCTGTGCCTTCTGTGTTCCACATGTGAGCTAGACAGACAGCAATGAGAAATGGGATTCTTTTTTTTTTTTTTTTTTTAAAAAATAAAGTCAGAATCTCTTGGTTTTTTTCATTCACTCTTACCCCTAGTGACAAACCAGGACAATTTTTGCTTCCTGTCCCAATAAGTTCTACTGGCCTAAAGTTTGGGTTCCAGACAGGGGAGTACTCCTGCCAGAGGTACAACAAACATTCCACTGAACACTTTGGTCTTCTGATGTCCTTAAACCAACAGCCAAAGAAAGGATTAACATTGTTATAAAAAATGATTGATCCAGACTGCCAGGGGGAATTTGGATTGCTTCTGCACAGTGGAGGTAGGGAATATTATGTCTGGAGTGCAGGAGAACCTCTAGGGTGTCTCTTGGTGTTACCATGTCTTGCGATTAAAGTCTATTTGAAATTACTACAAACCAATCCAGACAGAATGACAAATGGCACAGACCCTTCAGGAATAAAAGTATAGGTCACTTCTCCAGGAAAAGAACCAAGGCCTGCTAAAGTGGTAACTGAAGGAAGGAGAACTATAGAATAGGTAATAGAAGAGGGTAGTTAAAAATACCAGCTAAGGCCAGTTGTGACATGAGTACTTTTGCCCCATTTTGTTAAAAATGTGTTTTTGTATATATACACATAAATTAAATAGATATTATTTGTTACTTATTTATCATACACCACTGATTGAGATAGTATCAGTGGTTATCATATTTAAATTTTGAAACATTAAAAGACCAAGCATTTCTCAAGGTACATCGATGCCTATTCTAAAATGAATAATGCATTTGTGGATGCACATTACATAGCTATATCATGCTAGGAAGAATTATGGCCTGGTTATTGTTTTCATTTAGAAATTAAGTTGACAAAGGGTGGACCTGTGATAGCTAACACTGGCTGTCAACATTTATAATCAACCAAAACTTAAGCCACTGAGTACAACTATTAGAGATTTCTTATTAGATCATTTGAGGTGTGAAGATCCACCCTAGATCTGGGCCAAATCTGTTGGTGGGAGGCCACATAAAAAGACCACAGGAGAAGAAAGCTTTGGCTCTTTGCATACACTCTTGCTGGTCAGTTCACCTACCCTGTTGATGAGGCATTCCTTTGCTGGTATTAGAACCTACTTCTTCCGATTCTAATGTAGACTGGAGATCAGCAACTCTCTAGGAATTCTTCACAAATCAGCAACAGACTGGAACTGCTGAGACATCCAGTCCTGTGACTGAACAACTACTGGCTTTCTTGACTTTCCATCAGGAGATCACAACCTATAATCCACTCTAATACATCATATATATATATATATATATATATATATATATATATATGATGTATTCATTTAATCATTTTGGTTCCTTTACAGTATCCTGACTAACACAATAGGTTTGGGAGTTGTTTTTGATGTATACATTGAGAAGAGGGGGAGAGGGAAGGAAAAGCTACTAGTAAAAGAAACTGAAGAAAAGTAAGTGCCTATCAGAATTGTGGGATATTCCTTTATACTGTGTGAATATATGTTGTTGTGATTGGTTTAATGAAGAAGCTGACTGGCCAGTAACTGAATAGGATAAAGTTGGGCAGGAGAGTCAAACTGAGAATACTGGGAAGAAGGAAGGAGCTGGAGAGCAGTGAGCAGATGCAGAGGGAAGTGAGATGGGCATGCTGTATGAGAAAAGGTACCAAGCCACACGACAAAGTGAAGATAAGAAATATGGGTTAATTTAAAATATGAGTTAGCTAGTAACAAGCCTGAGCTATTAGCCAATCATTTGTAATTAATATAAGCTTTGTTGTATTTATTTGAGAGCTGCTAGTGAAACAGAAATTTCTATCAACATGAACAGAGGAGGAGCCTTTGAGGAGGGATGCAACTTCCTTCTACATACCAGACAGAGGTATTAAGTAGGATGATAAGGGGCACCATTTTTCCGACTTTAACAGAGTATTTCTAAGTCAAGTGAGCTGACTGAGAAAAGGTGAGATGCAGTGGAGCTAGGCTAAGATAAAAAGAAATGAGGATGCAAATGACTTAGGGAAAAGTCTGCGCCAGAGATCTCTGTGGAGAGATTGTGTCAGGAATGAGGAGGACAGCAGACTTGATCAAAGACACCAAATGGATATGAATTTTAAATTGGTTCTTAATCACCCTCTGAATTCAAAGCAGAGAAATCCTGGTTTTGCAAATATAAGACAAAGAAGAAAGTTCTCTTTGCCTAAAATAAATAAATAAATAAATAAATAAATAAATAAATAAATAAATAAATAAATAAATAGTAACCTTCAGGGGTTGGGGTTGTCTCATCTTGCCTGACCAAAAAACCAGCTAAAAATAATAAATGAATGAATGAATGAATTAATAATAGGTGTCACCATGTGGAGGTGCAACTCTGAGTGCAGAAGGTTGTAGACACTGTGGTAAAAAATGTGGAGAGAGAACACTGAAAGATGCAGGGCCTCATGTCTGGGTGCAGTGCCAACTTCTGTGGGGATAGCCAATCATCTATGCAGCAGTGCACCAATGCATATGCAATGCCAT